CCTCGTCGCCGGTCTTCCAGCAGGTCGTCGCTCGTCGCCGCCTCTTCCAGCAGGTCGTCGCTCGTCGCCGCCTCGTCGCTCGTCGCCGTCTTCGCCTCGTCGCCGTCTCCGCCTCGTCGCTCGTCGCCGTCTCCGCCTCGTCGCTGTCGCCGTCTCCGCCTCGTCGCCATCGCCGTCTCCGCCTCTTCCAGCAGGTCGTCGCTCGTCGCCGCCTCTTCCAGCAGGTCGTCGCCGGTCTTCCAGCAGGTCGTCTCTCGGTTTCTTGATCTTGCATAAATCTAGGGTTTGGTTTAGGGAATTTATCATTTTTCTTTAGAAATTGATGGTGTTTATTGCTTATTTCATGTTTGTAACAATGTTAATGATGATTGGATTATCGATATTTTGCAATTTCTTGAGGATTTGATACTGATATGAAGAAACATCATCTTTGGTAATTGTATGTTGGTTTATTTAGTACTAAATCATAACCAGGGTTAAAATTGTAATTTGCTATCATTCAGAGAACAATTACCAAACAACCTTGTTTCATTCAGCACTTAACCATTCTGATCCTCTTAGCCATTCTAACCTCTTAACTATTCTGAACTAAATCATTCAGCAACTGCCAAACAGCCCCTCAGTCGTATTAATATAAATTAACCGCATGTAGATGAACGTAAGCGCTTACCAATAGAAGTCACACTATAATTTATTTTGATGCGTATTTAGTATACATCAAAACATATCAAATGCAACGATTTACTGGGTAAGCACTTACTTGGGTAAGAGTCGTCAACCTCACTTACCGGGTAAGACTCTTCATTTTTCTCATCGTTCTTACTCGGTAAGATTTTTGGCCCTTCTCATGTTTATCCGATTAATAAATTTATGCGTTAAGCACTTACCAAGTAATTGTTTAGTAAACGGCCCCAAGTGAATTAATGTGGATGAATTTATGCATATAATTTGAATATGGTAGATGATTGTATAATTACGTGGTACTAGAGATTAGAGATGGCCAAATGGGCCCGACCCGGCCCGTACGGAGGACCGGAACTGGAACCGGAACCTGAGAGGGACCGGCACCGGTTATGAACCGGTTAGTGTTTTTAACATTTTCTAGGACCAGAACCGGTTAAGAGCGGGACCGGTTATGTAACCGGTTATAGGACCGGCCCGTCCCGGTTTTTGGCCATCTCTACGTGGTACCTATACGATGCATCGGGATGAAATTTTCGATTAAAAAATAATAAAAATATAAAAATTAATTTGTTTATTTTTATTTTCTGTTTTTCGTCTATAAAAGCAAAAGCTGGAATAAGTAGCTTATTGGTTAAGCCGATTTGTTCCCCCTTTTAGCCCGCCAAAGACCTATCGGTTTTGTCATAGGAAAGATGTTTACTATCCGAATTCACACCGTTGATACCTCCCAACCGCCGTTCGCAACGCCGGTCGGTGGTGGTGCCGCCACATCCGGCACCAAATCCACCGTCGCTGGAGGTTCAAAACCTAAGTCCAAAGAAAACTTGTTCATTCCTATGGAAGTGAAAGGTGTAGCCCACCTTTTCCGCAATCTACCAAACTTAAGCTCTACCTCTTCAAACGTCACCATGACGTTGTTCAACATCACCACACGCACCACACTTGTGTTCATCGTCGCCGTACCTAACTACCTTTCTCATGAAGAATTCATCGATTTCTGTGGTTCTCACGTTGATTACTTCTCCGATCTCTGTTTCATCAGGTATTGCGTTAATTACATCCAGGGTTTTTGCTCCTTTTTTTAGTTGTGGATTTAAGTTGTGTCCTCTTTTTTTTTTTTTGAAGAAATGATGCGGTGGAAGATCGGTATAGCGTGCTTATTAAGCTTGTGAACCAAATGTCTGCTGATGCATTCTGTTGCAGTTATAATGGAAAGCGATTTAAGCCTTCTGAGGTATTGTTGATCTCGTTTATCTTAAGAATTTCGAGTTTATTTGATTTTAAAGAGGGAAAACAAAAGATACCAGTATGTTGTGAATGATTTTGTGTGTTAAATCTTCACCTTCACGTGCCATGTGTAAATAGATGCACTCCTAAATGTTTGAATTTGGTTCAATTTCGTTGGGTTTTAACTTACAGCCTGAGGTTTGCCATCTCTACTTCGCTCAATTAGTGGAGTACACAGATTCAGCAGAGGCAGCCAGTATCCCACATCCAGGGTATACAGAATTACCCACTTGTCCAATTTGCCTAGGTAAGTTACTTTTGAGTTGTTTATGATTGTATTATAGTTGTATCTTTGTGTGTGTGCATGGAAGTTGTATGTGATACAATTCGATTATTCTTAAAATGGTAGAGACATTGGACCATGACACAAGTGCAATACAGATTACGCTGTGTGACCATTCATTTCAATGTTCATGCATTTCGAAGTGGACCTACTTGTCTTGCCAGGTTGGTTTTACTTACCCTTTTGTATTACTTTTATTTGTGGATTTTTCATACACAATTTGTGGAAGTGGGCAATAAATTTTCTATACAAAGCATATGGTGCATATGTTGGCGTATAATTAGTTCATTTTTTGACCCAGAATCCATCTTCACATGACTTGATTTATGGATGTGAAATAGTCTTATTAGGTTGTGGGTTTTGACTATGTTCAGCTCTAATGGTGACTTTAAAGAGTCTTGATATAAGGAAAATACGTCATAAGCTTTCCAAGGTGGTAGACAGTGAAGCTTAGCTACAAAGAACTATAAAATACTTGAAAGACCTGGGTATTATTAGTGTTCTTGGAACCCAGGAGTTAAAGATGAATCTTACGAGAAAGGAATTAAGATGTGGGATTGGATCAGTGAAGCATCCTGAAAACTAATAGATCTTTTAATTGTGTTTTTGTCCAACTCCCCTGAACAAGTAAATCTTGTGAACTGCTAATCAACAGTTGACAAGACTACAAAATATAGATCTCTATTGCTGTTCTAGTAATCTTCTTTCAGAATCATGATATGATGCAGTCATCCACATGATTAATGTTTTAGAGTCATAAATGTAGACTAAAATGTGTAAGAATTGTCAGAATCTACCAAATCATGTGTCTTATGCACCAACAATCATTAAAGTATCTTCCATAGCTTAAAACCCTCTTTGCTTGGTACAAGTACTCCTCCTGGTGAGTGCATTACAAAGCCTACATCGGCAGCTTGGCCATTCTCTAAACTCTGAAGGTCTGAAGTAATGTTCCCTTGTATCTCCATAAATAGTTTGTCCTTAAAACACTTGAGTTACATGACTTGAAGCAAATGACCTCTTAAGATAACTGCATAGTTGGTTCCCATATTTTTTTTCCTGAATGAGCATAGGAGTAAGGAGGACTCAGACCTGCTACCAATAACACATTACCACACATGGGATTGGATGGATGCTATTTGAGCTACTCGCTTGATGGTGCATGACTGACAATCTAATTATATGTTACAAGTTAACAGTATTTTAAATATTTATTTTATCCAACTAAAAAATCAGTTATTTTGGTTGGGTTTTCACTGCTTTATAAATTATTTTCTGTTGATTGTTATCTTATAAATTAACTGGTTAAGAAGGATAAAGGCTTGTTGTTATGGTATTAGAAATTGAATAGTGAAACAAATCATGATTTCAAATAGAAATCCTTGATGTATCAATAGTTTTTCGTTACCTGCTTTATATCATTACATTGATACCTTCATGAAATGTATAAGTTAACTCTCTCTGGTGTTAGGTCTGTCGACTTCGTCAGCGGCAGGATGGCAAACCGACCTGTGCAGTTTGTGGCTCGTCTAGCAACCCGTGGGTCTGTCTTATATGTGGTTTTGTAGGATGTGGAAGGTAACATATTATTAAAACTCCTGCTAATATATACTGAACCTTCGATATATTTTCTTCCTGCTTTTCTTGGATATTCATAACTTTGAAATTGCATCCATATGTAATAAACAATTGCTGACATCTGAAGGTATGAAAAAGGGCATGCTATTGAGCATTTTCGCCATGCTCAACATTGCTATTCACTTGAACTAGAAACACAGCAAATTTGGGATTATGATGGGGATAAGTATGTTCACCGATTAAATCAATCAAAAGTTGGTACCAAGTCAGTTGTGGCAAATCAAGAAGGTGAATCACTTGAAGGGGAGTGTTGTGATAAAGAGGATGGTGAAGTTGGCGGGGCACTTTTTAGCAGCAAAATTGATGCGGTAATTTGCTGTTTATCTTCATCTCTATTCCTACTTGCTGATGTTCTATAAAATTTATGGATGTCTTCTCGTTCTGACGTCATGTTAATTCCGTTACTTGAAACAAATCAGATCGCGGATGAGTATAACATTCTTTTTGCAACCCAGATGGAGACCCATCGACAAGTATGTAATCCAATGCTATGCTTTGATTAATTAGTTTCTTGTACAAGTGTTAATCTCAAAAATGAATATTTCTTTCCAAAAGATTGGGCCTTCCAGTTATGCCAGTTTGTATTGATGGTTTATGTTGATGAAAGGTGCAGAGGCCTAGCTTACAGAAAAAAGTTATACCCATAACATCTATGTCAAGTCTTTTTTTTAAATATATTCCAACAAAACGAAAATTGAAGTTGCTACTTTATATATATTATGCATTATTGAACATCTCATGTAGTTTTTCATCTTCTTTTCTGCATGTTCCTTTTTCCCCAGCATTATGAGACACTACTTGCGGAGGGAAAAAGTCGAAAGGAGATATCCATAGCTGAAGCCATAGAGAAAGCTGAAGTTGAAAGAACAAGGGAAATTCAACATAAACTGGAAGAACTTGCCAAAGAAACAAAGGCCGTTTCACTTGTTAGTTTGTTCCTCATGCTCGTATTTAAGTTTGTAGGATGAAAAATCTTGTCAGTTATTCAGGCTGCCATTTATCATTTTTCACCATATAGCCATGAGATTCCAACAATACAATTTACTCTTTTGTCCCTTGTTTGCTAGATTAACGAAGATCTTGCAAAAGACCAAGACTCCCTGAAGAAAAAATACAAGGAAATCCAGGATAGGTACTTAATCTGGATATCTTTTTTCTGGGTAACTCTAAATTATTCCAACCCATGGACGTTCTATAAATTTAAGACCGAGAACACAGTTTTGGCCTCCAGAAATCAATTTCTTATATCATGTTTTCTAACAAATGTGAGCCAAAAGTAGTCATAAATCTGTAGTCTTAATGTCGGCATTTGCAGTTTATTGATCCATACAAGAACTGGCACCCAAGTTGCTTTTGGTGTTTTTACTTCTTTGTTTTTGACTTGCCATTGCCATTTCAGGGAAATTGCAACACTAAAATTGAAGGATGAGAAAATAGTTGATCTGGAAGAACAGGTATGTAATTTACATTTCTTACCTCTGTCAAGTAGGTGACTTGTGATTTCCAAAAATCCATGATCAACCAAAAAAGGGTCATTGGCCCAATGGTACCCAGAGTAGATCCCATTCCCAGCCTCACTCTCAACAGTTAGGAGCCTGCTTGATGTATAAATATTATATATACTTCAAATAAATAAAAGAATCCATGATGAAGGAAGAAAGGATGTTTGATGCAGATTAGAGACTTGAGAATTTATATGGAAGCTCGTAAAACACTGGCGACATCTGGTGATAGAGATGAGATAAAAGGGGGGACGCTACTGCCGATGGTTCAACCAAATGAGTCGAGCCCTAAGAACAACTCTAAAAGGCGTGGAGGCCGAAAACGCAATTAGATCATGTGGAGTAGGTGCACATAAAAGTGAAGCAAGTAGAATGTAAGCCTATTTCTTCCTTTAAAGAAATCAAAAATAAGAAGGGTGTTGTAAGAAAGATCTTGAATTGTTTTGTGCTTCCTCTTTCTTTCTTTCTTTTGATCTTGAAACAATGTGGAGTGTATTTATAATAAACCACATATTGATCGGGAACTCGATAGCATCTAAAACCGTCACGATTACAAATGGTACCAGAGGGGAGGAGCCCATTTCTTTTGGGTGTTTCTATTTTAGATCAATTCAAACATCAGAAATGTAATAGGCATGATGTTATCGATGTATGTGAGAGGAAACCACTGGAGAGGGGGTTTATTCTTTTGCATTTATATCAATTTGTGTTTGAGTCGAATCTGTAGCGGTCTTAACCGCAATGCAAGACTTTTTCATGTATCATTTCAACATGGGATTTTCCTCCACCGTAAGAAGGGCACCACATTTTTTTGCATTGCGCTTTTCTTAAAACGGGCAATATCACCTAGTCCTAATTTTGTCAAATGGGTGTTTTTGGGCAATGATGGATGATTTCTTTGACACTGTTTGAACTTGACTCTAAATGTTAAAAGTTATAGCACTTTGAGTTGAGAAAATGAGAGCAATCGTTTTTTTTATGTAAAAATAGCATTCAATCAACCAACATATACATTTCAATAATGAAAAAAATGGTAAATAGAATTAATGGCAACATTGTCAATAATAAAAGTGGGAAAAACGTCAAAATGATACAAAAAATAATAACTCCGTTAACTAACCGGAGTGTGACATTCTGCGACCAAAAAAGTTCAAATATGTCGGTGTTGGTGGAGAATATTAAGCAAAAATGTGTAATTGATCGGCTGCTGATCGAGTGGTTTGTTTTAATCGATAATCGGTTTCAGTTATCAGTTGTCGATCCTTCTTGACCACCTCTAACTAAAGCTTGGCATGATGGTTCTTAAACCTTTCCAAAAATGACTTCAAATAAGAAAATAATTGAAAGCAAATACACCAAGGGAGATAAAAGTCTGGGATCTTACCGTTTGGTCTATTATTCGTAGATTAGTACTTGCTGATACTATCCACCACCTTTGGCAGGAAAGAAATGATCATATCTTCAAAATAAGAGAAGATTTTCTGATATGGTGGTTAAGACCATCTTCGATAATGTCCGGACCAGACTTCTCAGTTTGACTGTCAAGCCTCCCGGAACGTTGTCCGGGCTAGGCTTGTTTGAACCTTCCCTAGTGGTTGGTCCTTCCTTTCTTTTCTCTCCTCTTCTTTTTTCTCGGTTTCTTTGAGTTTTGCTCCTTTCTGGTGGTTGCTTCAGTATAGCTTCCATCCGAGTGCTAACCTTGGTTTCTTTTATGTCTTTCAAAAAAAAAATGTTTTTTAATAATTTTTTTCTTAGATTGAAGGGACCCTCTATATGAAAAAAAGATTGTGTATACTATACCTTTTTCCGACCCTATTATCAGATAGGATACACCGGATACGTTTGGTTGTGTTTAGTTTGTTTTAAAATGAAAGAATGAATACTATTGGAGCTTGCAACACTTTAGGGTGCATTTGGTTAGGTTGAGATGAGTTGGTCTTCAATAACAAATATGGTGTTGGTTAATTAGAATTCCTAAATTTTATGAAGATAAAAGAGAGACCTTCTAAGCTTTTCATATTTCTTTCACATTTTGAGCAAAAGTAGTGAGAAACCAACCACAAAACAATGGTCTGTCTGGATTGAGACAGAGGGCCCGTATTCCAAATGCTTACCGATAAAAGCCACTATTCTCACTTACTTTGTAGAATAATATTTCCGGCCATCAAAATGGATTAATGGTAAGCGTTTATAACTTGGTAAACATTTACTGGATAAGACTCTTGATCCTTGTCTTCTCTCTTACCTAGTAAGATTCTCAGTCCTTGTTATGTTCACACGATAAGATAATTGAACCAGCAAATGCTTAGAAAGATGTGTTTGGTAAACGGACCCTTAATACATACGATTTATTATGTAACAAGGGCATTGACAAGAGCATCTATGAGTACTCATTTTTCACATCAAAAAACTGTTCCAACTTTAATTGTTCCGAGTATACTAACTAGTTGGGTCAAATATGTCCGATAACAACTTCATGAGCAACTTTTACTTGTAGTTTAATTAAGATGATTAAAAGAAAAACGGCATTCGAGGGCATATAACAATAACAATAACAACATTTCACTCATATTCCCCCAACCCGGCCCGAACCAACCTGATCTTTTGTTCATGAAATTTACAATCAAAACTCTTCTTTCCTTCCTACTACTGATTCTAATCTAAACTCTAAAACACTATCTACCTAAATCTTTTGCTCGGAAAAAGTTTTAAAAAGCACTACCTCTGAGCTTGATCCGTTGTATTTGCAGCAGCGGCAGCGGCAGTAGCGCTTGGTCCAGCACCATTACCATTTTCAACTACTGCGGGTGAGCTGCCCCATTTCCCTTCTGACTCAAGTGGTTCAATTACACATACACTGCCGTCACTAAGTCCCAAAGCAAACTGGTTGGGTTCCGATGGATGTGCAGCAACCACAAGTGGAAACACCCTTGAACTGTCAGCCCATAACGTATTAGATTAGATACAAATGCGTACATCCCCTAAGGAAATGGAATTTCCACAGAAATGCCAAAGGGTCAGTGGTCCAACAGTATCCGGTAACCTCCTTGGAGGCGAAGGGGTCAAGCCTCACCAGATGTGAGGAATGTGTGAGTTTTGTCATATATAAATATGATGTACTTTAAAAAAACATTAATCATGTCACAGGAATAACACTCACTTTGGATTTGTGGGCAGATACGCTGTGGAACTGATCCGACAACGCAATCTGAGTGTTGATGCAGTTAGAATATCGATACTTCCATCCTCAAAAGTGACATATATTGATTGGCTATCACATGAGTAAGCAGCATGTGTGATCGCCCCGCTTGCCTCTCGGGGGCCCCACTGTTTAGAAAATAAAAATAAACTGTCAGAAGTCATAACTCGTCTTCATGACTTTACTTTCTCGGATAGAGGTAAGGCCTCCATACATCTTACCCTCCCCAGACCCCACCTCAACCTCAGGTGGGATATACCGGGTTCGCTTGGTTTGGTTTGATTTGTCAGAATTTATAACTCTAGAAAGGAAAACTTGTTCTAGAATTTATAACTTTTATTAAAACCACACCAGAATAGCTACAAAAGAAATAAACCTGCTTCAGGCATTCAAGTTTAGGAGCTTCAAAAATCGCTATCTGAGTTTCGTGGACGACTAACAAGTGTGTCTGATCTTGGTGGAATTGTACACGCGTATCAGCAAGGGGAGCAGCAACGCGTCCCCCTGGGATTTGCAATTGTTTACTTGTTTGCTTCTCCCATCCATCCGTACTCCACACACACAACTGCAGAAAGACATTACTCGCATGTTCAATCAATAAAAATAGACACGCCTGCGGTGCACTGATTCCTCCGTCCCAAGTAAATGTACACAATGAAAAAGGCAAACAGTTTTAAGAATGTGTAATTACTACACTTTTTAATTAATTAAATGACAAGTTTACTCTTAATTAATAGACGGAGTAATGAATTTCTCCATCTCATAATTAAAGGTAGAATTGGAACGAACTAAGATAGAAATATGGACACTTATTTTGGGATGGAGGGAGTAGTTTGTTAAGCCAAATATACGTCAACACTTTTTGTGAATTCATGCTGGAATGGTAACATTAGCAAGCAAGCACGTACTTACCTGAGAATCAGCACCAGAAGATACTAGCACATTAAGCACATTAGAGAAGGCCAGGCCTGTTATTTGTTTATGATGGCCTTTAAGCTTGGTTTTGACCTGCTCAGATGAATAACAAACATCACTTCATCTATAAACAGACTCTGCTCTCAATTCATCTCATAAATAAAAAAACACGGGTTAACCTCATCAACTCGGACATTGTATATTTGGATAGAAGAGTCATCCATGCCTATGGCAATTATGTTGTTATCTTGTGGATGGAATGCCAGAAAGGTTGCTGCAGGCGGAGGGGGCATGAACGTAGTCATAGTCTGCAAATGAAGAAAGCAATTAGTGGATTTATCGAAGATTAAAGAAAATGGCATAAAAAGACCACCTTTACAGAAAACACAGCCAAGTCTCAATTTAGCCTATCGTTACAAGAACATAAACTTCTATGCAAAATAACGGCATCTCAAAAATTAAAGTAGGCCTTAGGCAAAAAATCTAAAATAGACCTATTAACTTATTTTCTTAAGTTTTATGGTCAGATTCATATTTTTATTAGACTATTTTGTGCCTAAAGTTAGTAATTATTTTAATATAAACACAACAATACAAATACACTACAGTAACAATATAAAAAAATAACTGAAGCAGATAAAATGTAATTTAACAGTAAATAAAAATAAGATAAAGAAAGAAAAATAAAACCTGAAAAAATGGTTTGAATAAGAAATTTAGGACATGATCAATTATTTAAACTTTTCAAAATTTATTTTTTGGATTTCATATTAAAAATATATGGAGAATAAAGAGACAATATAATAGAATAAATAATTGAGTTAAGTATGTATTTATAAAACTTAAACAAATAAAAACATAAGAAAACATATTACTAATGGTTGTTTTTTTGGAAAAACAAATCATAGAATTTAATACAAATCATTAATGACTTATAAATAATATATTAACTACATCTTAAAAGTGCCTTTTAGCATTATGAGGCCTTAAGCCATTGATGCAATGGCCTAATGGTTAAGCAAGTCCCACAAATCAGGAAGATAGTTGAGTTATAATTACAAAGCCATAAGCAACATCAGCACATCTCATTAATAGCTTGATATATTTTCACTTAGATCCACACAGACAAAAAGACAGTAAAATGTCACCTCAAAGCTGAAGTGCTATTTTGGATGCTAATTAGGAAAATAAGACAACGTTCACAAACACCATAACAAGGGACAGTAGAAAATAAAAACAGGGAACTCCTAGATACAGAAAACATATAAACCATGTTACCTTAAATGTCATCATATTGAACAAAGAAATCTTTCCGCCTGAAGCAGACATAACATAAGAGTCGTTCTTTGATAGTGCAAAGCATGAAACAGCATCTTCAGGGTTTGTCTCACTTGTATCATTTGTCATCAATATACCACTATTTGGTTGCCATAGCTGAGGCAGTACACTAGCAGTTGCCTAAAAGAGGCAAATAACCCATAAGCATTGAAAGTTAGCTTAACATACGACAGGGGGATTAAAAGTCTGAGCAAATACCTTCCCAGTTGTATTACGGTCATTTCTCTGCCATTTCCATAGTTTATGGACAGCATTGGATGCTAGAGCTAAGATGGCAAGACCTGAATTAGTGTAAATCAATCTTGAAACCTGTAATGCAGACAGGGCGAAAAGGAGGGGGAAGTCACTTAAGTTTGATAGAAACAGTGAAACATCACTTGGCATTAAAGTTAGCCAAATTAGACCTTATTATTCTTTCACACACGAAGGTATTTGTAAGATTGGCATCTCAAAAGATAAATAGATGATAGCAGTGACCAAGGGTCCAAGGCTAGAGTGAAGAAATGAAAAAGTAACAGTAACAGCGATATTAAGGAAAATAAGGAGTGCAAACATGTGAGATATGTGTTGCTAAAGAAATATCAACTACATCAGTAATACCGATCAAGGTGAGGGGATAAATACCCGTGTTGCTGAAGATGCATTATCTGGAAGCCTTGATGAGCGGCACTGTGATGGTTCAGAGATTTCTGTCAGTTTCCACATTCTAGATTTGTCCATAGACTCATCTCCAATTCTGGGCCTCTCTACCAAATTTCGGTTATCGCCATTCTATAAGCATATCCCATAAAGTTTAACATCATGAGAATGAAATTAGGAAATATCTATACGAAATCATAAGATGAGCACGTGATAAGAACCACATCAACTTAATATTAGTTGTATCCGCGAATAATAACACAGATAAACACATAGTGATAGTAAACCAGTAACACTCACCATCATCACCATGGAGGGCATTGGATTAACTCTATCCATGATGCTTGGCCCACCAGATGCATTAGCAGCAGCAACAAACGTAGTCATCGTAGAAGTCTGCACATGTTAGAGCATTCAGTAGATATGATAGACACCATAGATGCAGGCGAAAGAGAATCCTGATGGTATAATCTGAATTATGCAAGGGGTGGCCTAAGAATCTTTTTACCTTCACAACAGATGCAGACGCAGCTCTGGAGGCATCGAAAGAACGATTCTCCATACTTCTTAGTAGCCTAAGCCCATCTGGATTTGCTAGGATTTTAATTCCGTTTTCGCTTGTTGAAACAGCCAGCAGAATTCCATCCTTGTTAAATCGTATACAAGGAGAAGCCTGCCAGTAAGTCAAGAACCATTATCATTAGTAAGGCCAAAACCTAAAAACATGATTCAGAGAGGTCATATTCCGATGAAAGCATCTGAGGAGTACCGGTAAACCACCCTCAGCATCTATGGTTGTCACCAAGTTAACATTGTCCATATCCCAAAGCTTTACCACACACTCATCGCCAGCAGCAAGAAAGCGATTTTTTGTAGTATCAAACTGTACGACCCCAATAGATCGCTTTCCAAGCCCATTATATGAACGTTTAACAGCACCTTCACTTTCATTCCATTCCACAATGTAAGAATCTCCTTCTTTATTTGTCCCACATGAGAATAATCTAACAGTTGTGCACATATCATTAGAGAGAAGATTTCGTTAACATCACAAGCACATTTCAGATGTACTGCAAATCAGATAAAGAAATTAGAAGAGCAAAGACCATCAGTTTCAAACCTTGTTCCATCGGAACTGTACGCCATTGTGGTGGATGAATGACCTGGTGCATCATAGTCCACTCTTGAACCCATATTGTCATACAACCATGCCTTTATTTTGCCATCAGTTGCCGTTGAGAAAATAAACTAGGATGAGGAGAAAATAATGTAATACAAATTAGTGACTGATATTCAAAAGAGAACAAGATACCACTTTTTCAGAGATAATGAATGCATTAACTTTCAAGAAAAGGAGTGAGAAGGAGAAAGAGCCTCCAAACTACTGGTTTACTTATGCGACCGGCTGTGATTTACAAGGTGATATAATTACATTAGCAAAGAGACAGTAACAACATTGATCGTAAAGTTTTCCACCCAAAATACTTTAGTAAGAGAAATTTGTTACCAACCAAATGTCATAGATTTGAAGCCACAAGTTGGGATAGAACAAAATTGGAGAATAATACAACTTGGGACGTAAAGGTCACCAAATGCTCGTTAACTGCGTATCACAATAAATGATGAGAAAGGACCATGCTATGATCTACAAGATTCAAGACTTGAAGTACAACAATTTTTGCCATATTTGAAAGCTTAGAGAACACACTAGAAATTGGTCGAACAACTGAAACAAGTGAAATACTAGCTAGCACCAATTTGAGAGTATTGGTTATACCTGAATATTTTCCTTAAAATGCGGGCATACAGAATATACAGGTGCTTCATGACCCTCGAACGTATACTGTTTAGCCCCTGTTACTGCATCCCACACCTGTAGAAAACTTCATCTTATACATGATGGAGTTCAGATTTCACCACTCCAAACAAAGCAAAGGCAGAAAAATACAAACCTTTATCAACCTATCATCTCCGCATGTTACAATGCAAAGTTGTTTGTTTGGGTAAGAGAAAGCAAGATCATTTACACTGCCACCATGAGCCTCAATCTGTATAATCAAATCCAATAACATTTGACAATTACATGAATCATATGCATCTAATATAAAGAAGTGCACCATCAACACCCAAAGGAGAGCAATACAAAGAAAACAAAACAATGAGAGGACACACAAACCTCCAAGTGATTCCGTAGATCATCACCACCATGATAAGAGTATAACTGCACAATGTGCTTCGAGTATGCAACACCTATACGAAAGTCCATGACAATGATGAAAGCCTCAAGCAATTTCCCAATTTTAACATATTGGCCACATTAAAGGACACTCCCTCCGTTCTCCTTAAGATAGCCCTTTTGTTTTTTGACTATCAACATAATACTATATGTATGATTAACATAAATTCTTCTGTTACATTTTTATGACATTCTATTTGCAATACTTTTTCTGTAATTTAAAGTATCCCTCAAAATGCAAAATTCAGAGATATTAAAACTTGAATTTAAAAAGATTGTTTGATTGACATTCAAATGTCAATAAGGGATACCTAAAGTGAACAGAGGGAGGAAATGATTATACATGGAAAGATAGTAATAAATATTAAAATACCAAACAGGGTTCCGTCAGGGCTCCAAGTAACACGATTGATTAATGCGGTATAGTCATTGGTCACAGATGCCTAATACAAAACGCAAAGTGTAAACTAGAGTTAATGAAAGAAATCGCAGTTGACCGTCAAGATTGCATTCACTTTATATTTAAGTTCACTCTATATGCGCATTGAGAATAAAACACATTAAAACTAATAACTTTAAACAGTGTCGGAATGTTAACCTGCAGTGGCATTGAACAAACAACAAGATCCCAAACCTTGAAATTCTTATGAGCAAGCTTCTCCCTGCTACCTAAGTCCCATATCATAATATCTCCGGTGTTCGTTCCAACTTATATTTGGTCAAGATAGGACAAAACAAGAACATAAAATAATTAGGAAACCCTGAAAGCATAAACTACCAGAAAAGCAGAAGTTCAAATCTTAGAGCATATGAAACTAACCAAGAAGCAGAATTTGCTGTACCGGGTGAAAATCCATACTCTTGACAACTGATCCCTGATTTAGGGTCATCGCCACAGCTTTAGGCAGATCATCAGATGAATACGAGCTTTGACCGTGATTCTGGCCACCATATCCAATGGGTAAGATATTTACAGGCATATGATTAACCTGTACAAAGATAAGAGATATGTCAGCTTTTGGAATCAACCAACTTGCGACCTTAGCATGTAAAGCTCGCTTGAGAACACAAAAAAGACTTCCAAATGGTGTTAATAGCAATCCATCTTGACACCAATGAGACCCAGTTCCTGGTCCCAAATAGTTGATAGCAGTATTCTAAGAAAATTAGTACAAAAAAGAGCTTAATTTAAAGTAGATGGAATGGAGTAAACCCCAACAGCCAATCTCTAAAATGTTAAATGCAAACAAGTGTCCAGGTAATGCAAAGAACAGCCAGAGTAGTTCATACTTCATCAGATATGCCAAATGCCCTTGTTCTCTTAAATACATGTTCAGAGTCAGCATTTTGATAGTCTACAGCTGGATTGTTGGTAGGAGTCCGGGGGCGCTTTAATAGAGCTGCCATGTGAGAGGGAAAGGGGAAAAGTGAACAACTGAACAAGTTATTATGAACAAACAGCAACTCAAAACATTTATGATGCGAGCACTCTAGCAAATCTACAGGAATATGTAGTGGAACAAGTGGATTGACATGTTCAATAAATGCTTATAACCAAATCACATTGAATAAACCGTTCCATGTGAAGCTAGTATAAACTCAATGAACTACATACCAGCACTATTAGGTGGAGTGAAACCAATGGGTCCAGCAGAAGCTGCTGGATGAGGCACAGGAGCTGGGTTTGCCATCCAACCAGCAAGAGATGTGGGTAGAGGAGCTGGTGCGGCCTGAAAAGGCTTCAAAAGAATGTAAAAATAAAAGAAAGTCAAGATGCGTTACCCATGATTTTTATAGTTTAAACCACTCAAACATAGATAGCAATCTGACTCTTTTGTCCACTTACACCATGAGCACCCAGTGGTGGAAAGCCTGCGGGCTTTGGTACAGCACCCATTAACGGATTGGTGACAGGGGATGGAGCTCGTGCACCATTTGGCTGTGACTGCCCGCAAGAATGATCAACAAACAGAGTTTTTATATCCGGATTGGGCTTCGGGTTTTTGCACAGCTGATGTTGCCAGTTCAAACTAGAATTTAAAGGAAACGTTAAAAGCAAGGCCTAAACTTGAATAACAAGACCGACTGCTAGCCAAACAACCACAAGATACAGACCTTTGATTGATGAGTGTCCTTAGTCTCGAATTCTTTAAAGTTGGAAAAGTTAGCTTCTCACGGAAAAGAGGATTTGCTTCAATTAACTTTTTAAGTTCACCCAACATTATACTTCTAGCTGACTTGGTGTCTCCATATTTGGATAATTGCTCGTTGTCTCTGAACACGTGTTATATCAATAATCACGAAACTATATAACTAAATTATGATGTGTGTAGACAACTAATATCACAGATAAAGAAGCTGTTCATGACTATCATTCCTCACCTGAAGTTCTCCAGAGTCAAAAGCTGTGTTATTTCTTTAAATAGATCTTCATTAAAAGCAGAGAACACTTTCAAGTCCTTCACTAGAATTTCTACCGCTTTAGCACGATCCTTTCTGCAAATTGAATGGACATTAAGAACTTACCACTGGATTTTTAAGTTAAGATCCCGTTACAGAATTTTAGACAGGAGAGACGCTACACAAACCAAAAGTACTAGCTCAAAAAGGTTATAAACTCATAGCCAAGAGAGTAATGCAAAGAGAAAATAAAGCATTAAAGGCCTTCAGCCTCTTCTCTGTGAATGCATAACTTGCATTTTCCGTATATCATCATCCTCCCTAAAATAAATGTGGGAGCAAAGCAGTAACTCACTAGCGCTCAAATTAACAAAGTATATTTAAACTTACTTATCTAGAGCTTCTAGGTACTTCTGCTTTTGTATCTCAAAGAAGATTTTCATTGAATATCTGTTATCATCAACCTTTGTAAATCCAGAAAGATATTTTTCCACCTCATCCCATTCCCCATTCGTCACCATTTCCTCAAAGTATCTCATATTGAAGAAAAACCCAGACTCTTGCTCCAACCTCCACACACAAAAAAAAACCCAATTAAACATAAAGACAAGCAATACCAAAAATTTGAGATGATTCCAATTACATATGATCTCAAAAGAACAAACAAACAAAATATACGCATACACAAACTTATTAAACCCTACCTGTGAACAGTTTCTTTAAATTTCTCTTCATCTAGAAACTGAAGTATTAAAAACACAAGCTCCCTGCTAAGAGACGACATAACTTTCCCTTTTCCCCAAAACTGCAAGCAATTAAATCCGAAATTAATAAACAATGAAATATAATAAAACAAAAGAATAACAACCCTCTAAATCTTCAAAGATCAGAAAACAACAGTGCAACCTCCATTTCCGTATAATCCAGCTAAAAAAAATTCAAGAGAAAACAACAAAATACTGTTCCATTTTGTTCATCCAACAAGAAACCTAAATTTCCAAAAACAAACACACATATAAACGCAAAACACCTACACATATGTGCATAATCAATACATAATCATGCATAAATACAGAAAAATCCATATGTATAATCAGTAAATATGTCTAATTTTATGTTAAGATAAGAAATCAAAACATCCGTTACCTTTGAATTGGATGATGAGATATTTCGAAAACAGATCGGAGGGTTTCACTAATACTATTTTCTCTCTCCTCGTTAAGAGATTTCTAGAGAGAGAAAGTGGAGAGTTTTTAGAGAGAGATGCGATGCGAAGAACCAAGAGACGATATAAATAGCAGTGAAAAATGCGAGTGGTACGAGATGATAAGGAGAAAAACAAGGGAATAAGATAAGTTATCCTACTTATCATACCGTTGATAAGCACAATGTCTTATTAGCTGATAGCTTATTACAAGTGAAAATGCTTTAATTAGGTCTAATATGGGATTGATAGTCGGCCTAGTTTTCGGGTTTTATTTAGAATATTATTTATTTTATTTTATTTTAAAAAATACAAATACAATTTTTAGTTTCACATTGACTTAATTTCACTTTTTATTGTTTTTAAAAAAAACTATTTTTCTCTAAAGTGAAAAAAATTAGTTTTTTAGAAACCAAAATTTATATGTGTTAGAGCATCTTCAACAAATATGTTAAAATACAAAAAAAAATATTTTAATATTTTTTTATTACAACAATTATGGTATCTTGTATGTTAAAATAGAGAAAAGATAAAAGAAATAGTAAAAAATCTCTGAATTTTAAGGAATTTTTTAAATAGAGAGAGAAATTATTATTTTAATATTTTTCATCAATAAAATGTATTAATAATAAATGTTTAGAAGAGATAAATAATATTTTATTAAATGTATTGGATATTTTAACAATATAGTTACCGGTAGAATTGTTAAAATAGAGTAGATATTGGAGTTGAATGTAATTTTTGTAAAGATTTCGACTCTTATGGGTTGTTTGACAATTGTTGAATGATTTGGTGCAAAATGATTAAGTGGTCAGAATGATTAAGATGCTCTCATGATATAGTGCAAAATGAAATATAATTGTTTGTTAATTGTGTACAATGAAATTAGGGCTCTTAATAGTTAAGGGAGATCTATGATACAAAATCATTCAGAGGGTTTTAGAACCATTAAGATGCAAACTTTTTTTTACCAAACAAGATTCGCATCTTAACGTTTCAGATGTTACCTCTTAATGGAACTATTAAGAGGCAAACAAACAATCCTTAATACTTTATTTTAGAAAATAAATTACTCTACACAACTTAATTTTTGTTAGAATTAGGTCGAACAATGCATTGAAAATGTTAAAAGTGATTTTGATGTTGATATGTGTAAAATAAAATTTAATATAACAATAGATAAGGGAGCATTTAGCATATCTTGTATATGTATGTATGTATATATATATATATATATATATATATATATATATTTGGGATCATGTGAAACTAAGGGTTTTTCGTGAAATCCGTAAGACCAATTCTCAGCCTTTGGATTAGATCTACAATTTGAACATTCATAATCACAAAATTGCCACGAGACTTCTCAATAATCACAAAATTGTTACCGTGCAACTTTAAACCATTAGATTATTAGTTTATAAAGTTGATTAATGAACATAAATTGGTTTTACGGGTCTCACGAAAAACCTTTGGTCTCCACATGAACCCAACCCTATATATATATATAACCATCGAAATTTGTCATGTATTCATATTCATCATGAATTGGACGTGAATTCATCGTAAATACAAACGTTAATGATAAAACCCTATCCATATTCATCATAAACATGGACACATGATGCGTCCTTAATGGTTGAAGTTTCTATCATGAAATGTTGACGTATTAATAGATGAAGATTACTAACGAACATTATGTTCAATAAATTTCTAGATGAAGTATCTGTGAATTAAATCTAGATCTATCTTATAACGATAGCATATATAAAATCACAAGAACCCTCTCGTGATTTTAAGAATCATTTAATCAAGATTTCAAAACAATAATTTTGTTTTTCTTTTAATTATAATTATGACATATAAAGAAATAAAAGAAACCCTAGATTTCAATTCTACTGAAATCAGTAGCATATCAATGAATTCCACTAAATATGAAGATAGAAAACCATAATTATTCCAAACTTCACTTCAATAGTCTCGTATCCATGCTGCCTCGACTTTAATTTAAACTCGATGTTTGTTAACCAAGCGGGACACCGCCAAACTCTTTCTTATCAAARCCCTTCCCCTTGTACAGCCTTACCAAGCTGTTTTCATTATGTGTTCCTTGAGGGAGGTTCATGCGTACAAATAGACAGACCAGGCTCATCCTTTTATGTTGAGGTCGCAAGTCTGTCTATGATTAAGAGTCTAGGTGGTGTTGAAGCTGGCTCATTCATGCTAGTCATCTTAGAGCTATGAGTCAGAACAATGTTCAGCAACTCGTCCATAGTAATCTTGAAACTTGCTTGTTTCGATTTCACTTCAGTTGAAGAAATAAGTATGATACAAAGCTCGAAGATGTTTATCGCATTTGATTTTCACATTAACAATTGTATAAGAAAATGTACCTGATTAAATTGGGTAATCGAGAAGGTAACCATCAAATAATTAAAGGGCTACTATAGAATTAGGTTGAAAGGGCTAGTGTAGAGTGAGCTTAGATAGGATATCGAAAAGTAAAATACTGAACCTTTATGTTCTGCCAAGCAGTTACCGACTCGTTGAAGCACACCACGTGTAAACGTGTTTACTTGAAATTTGTCACGGTTGATACACGTACATGTATGATATGTACATTCACACTTTTAAAATGTTTGAACTTTGTCGTGAGGCTTCCGTATTTTACTGATTTAGTCTTGACTCTTGTACATTAATGAAACTTTAAGGGGCTGTTCTAGCGGTGATCAACCTCTTTAACTTTGTGTACAGTGTTTCATGAGGTGTTAAGTGTAATTTTACCGGACGTTATCAATTACAGGGGTGTTCTCGATATGGTATGTTCCAAGTGAGACAGGGTGTTGTGCACTATGTCACCATCCACCAAATTAATAAACACAAAAATGTCAGGCTAACTTGTATGCTTGTTGAATCAAATCCGTTTAGCACATCGTGGTCTCTCTCACGAAAGCATAAAAGAAAAAAAAAAGTCATGGACTGATTATATTACCATTGACGGTGTCATGTCATCGATGTCCCAATGACGTTTCCATGATATTCCCATAGGTGGTTAGTAGCTCGGTATACCGTAGGAAATCAACTACAAAAAGTGTGTCACAACACGTGTGAGCATGACGAGTGTAATTAATCATGTAGTCCAAAAGGCGTTTGATGAAACAAAATTGTTGACCTCTTACCTTAGAAGTTTGATATTTTCGAACATGAAATTAAACGAAGGTGTTACAAATCAAAAAGGTTTAAATAATACGAATTTAGTGAACCATCGTTGTAATTTCCAGTGTGGAATGTTAAAACGATGATTCCAACACTAAACATATTTAAAAATCCAGACGTTTTTCATCGTTCAAGGAGGTTTTAGAAAACTATATATAAACAAAAGGAAAAGCTTAGATCAATGTCTTGTGATTGCAAAAAAAATCAATAATGACTAAAAGTACCAGGAGGTCTTAAGTTCAAATCCAAGGAGGAATAAAAATCCCCTTGTGGCCACGGAGGTTCAAATGCGGTGACTCCGGGCTATCTGCAAAGCAGATGGTCGCCCTGGGATTAGTCGGCTTGCATATAGCGAGTTGGATATCCAGGTTAAAAAAATTCAATAATGGACTTACTTGGAATTACAATAGATTTTATTCATATTTTAGAAAGTCGTTCTGCTATTCTCGTCTAAAACCAATTAGTCTAAAAAACCCTACTTTTTAGCCAACTTAGAACGGACATCAAACTAAGTTTTCTCGTCTCAAAAATATTCGCAGTATAAATCCCCATGTTTAAAAAAACAAACTGTATGCATTATTCCGATAAGTGAGCGATGTGATTATTATTGTTATCAATATTACGAAATTATGATAATCCTATACGACATATTTATTAATGTTAATGTTTTATAATTCTAGCATATTTAACGTTACAGACTGTGCAGAAAACAAAAGAACAACTCCGAGACTCAGGTGCGATTAGTCGGATGAAAACGAATCCATACAATTTAAGTGGAAGTAACGATACATTATACAATAACTCGAACAAATACGAATCAGAAGAAAACGAAGAATTCATACATTTGATTTCGTTTATTAACACTTGATCGTCATTTTCTTCACAATCAAATCCTTTTTAGAACATGTTCTTCATAACCCTAATTTTGTTTCTTCTCAACGCAACTATGATTCTAGGGTTTGATATCAGTAAAAGAATCGTTTAACCCGTTACATATTACTTAAAAACCATTATATCTTACTTAATAAGTAAATCAACTACAATCACAGAGTTAGAATAATAATAATAATAATAATAAATTAAACCCTTCGAAATACGGAGATAGAGATCAAATGTTACACTTGTTTTAAAACAAAAAGACCAAAGTAACGTTTGTTTTTTAAGAGGTACTGAAGTCTGAAGTCTGATTTCACTTCTGATTTTTATACCCTAATATAAAGTAAAGATTTTTCTTTAATAAAAATTAAAATATGTTTGAAATTGCTATTAATTACTTTCTTAAATAAAATATATAAACTATATTATCATATTTTTTTGGAAAAAAACATTTTATAAATTAATACATAATATCTAACATCATAACTACACTTTAAAAAATACCATAAATCATAAATTTGATCACAAATTTGGTATTGTTTTTAGATTTATTCGTGTTGTTAAGCCTTGGTACCCTTTTATGTTTATTAAACTTGCTTTAAAAATTGATTAATTTTAATTAATTACTAAAATTGGTTGATTATTAATTAATTACTAGAATTGGTTGATTATTAATTAATTACTAAAATTGTTTAATTTTTAAGTAACTACTAAATTTGATTAATTATTAATTAATTTCAATTCTACGTTAAATTGAGATGAATGAAAACTCATTCTCATTTTGATTCCCTATGTGAACCAAACATCCCCTTAAGTTACTTTTGATTAAGATGTTTCGAAACCAAAGCCTTAGATTCCACTGCAACAAAATTGGGTTTACATGACGTCACCAATTTCTAAGTGTCCTAATAGACCGTTCGTTATAACTTAATTTATAAAA